CTCATGCATCATACAGAAGACCGGCGTTCACTGTAGACACGCTGACAAAACTATCTGCAGACACGCCTTAAAGGCCGACGACCAGACTCGAGATTCTGCAAGGCAGAAGATCCTGCTCACCATGGAGGAGGGGGAAACAGGCAACGGTGGACAGGGTAGAAGTGGGGAGAGTAGCAAACGGGGGAAAAGTGGAAAGAGCGAACTGGTCGTCGGTCTTTAAGCATATGTTACAGAAGGCTTCATACGTACTGTGTATGCTTCGAGCCTCTCTGCAGACAGTCTTTGTACGATCAATGCGAGACAAGGAAGACCTCAGACAGTTTCTGCACACTGTCTTTTGTATGATGTTTTAGCAGTGGGACCCCAGTTTAATAAGAGACGCAGGAAGCGGCCTGTGGTACGTTCATGCTTCTTGATTCGTGACTCGGTATGCGGCCTTCTTGCGGCCTAGTGCCGGAATCTCATTAACTGCGAAGTTATACTGAGATGTTTAAAACTGCGAGTGACTACAGGCTCTTCGCCAAATGAACTAGCGGGACTACTAGATGCAGAATCTACACTCTCGGAAGTACCGCGAGGGGGTCCCCATTTATCGGTCCTCTACTTTACAACCTTCTCATTGAATGAAAATCAGTTTGGTAGAAAGGTCCACTTGCCACAAAACGTGTTGATTAAATTATAATCGCGAGTTGAAGTACGTCCCACTTTATGTAGGGGAGATGCCGAAGCTACGAGCGTATGTACATGTTGCCCTAAACGATGCTCATGAGGGATGGCACCGAGGGAGGGTAGGAGACGAGAGGGGGAAGGGGGGGAGGGGGTCAGAACACCGAGCTCTGGTTGGAATGATCAGGGGGTAGAGCTATAGCTGCCTTTGTCTCAACTGCACTCGTCGAATGGGTTAGAACGCGAAACTCTAACGTCCGGTGTTCGGCGCTCGCGTTTGAACGCGTTCGAACAGTGCAGTGGAGACGAAGGAAGCAAGCTTTGCGTCTACCGACTTATCATTCCAACAAGAGCTCGGTCTTCTGACCTCCCCTCTCGTCTCCCTCAGTTTCTGTCCGTGGTTCTTGTAGCTTCTGCTACGTTCGCAACTAACGTGATACTGAATATACTACTACTACTACTACTACTACTACTACTAATAACAATATTAATAATAATGCTGTTGTAGGTATGTTTATACAGCCGGAAGTTACCTATAATGGGCGTCTGTTGTCAGCTGTACATAAGAGATTTAGCCAGTGTAGCACAACTCCTAGCCTGGGGACTTTAACGTGCACCACGCAGTAGCGATACACGACCGCACGCCGGTACTGCCGGTACTATGCTCATCCAGATCGGGCTGGGGATAGAAATCAGGATCCCTGCGTTCTGCGGCGCGAGCTTTTGCTCCATGTGCTCCAAGCTGAAGTGCACTGGTTAGCGTATTTCAGCTAGTAGAACTAGGGTGCCTTCATGTGCGCTTTCCTTAGGATGGAGACGTCTGGCCATTTTGTTCCACACTTTTATTTTTATTTTTTTTTTTTTTTTTGTTCAGAACCGCGTGAAAGAGCGTGTCCCTGGACGCGTTTGTGGCACTGACTGTGCTATGGCGACATTTTGTTTTCGTCGATTTCTTCGTATTTTACCCGTGAGCGCGTGCTGTCGGCATCGGGTACTACAAAGGGTGGCATCACCCTAAACAGAAGGACATTGAGGCACCCTAAGTAGAACAAGATACACATTGTAAATAAGAGTTGTACGCAATGGTTTGAAACTTCAGAAGTATATAAGGAAGTCGATCCTGACCAACAGGAGGGGGAAACACTTTTCGAAGCTCTTTTCGCCATGAGTCGTTCCATGCTTATTCTGGCTGGCCCGTTATTAGATGTCAGTGTACTTTTAAGCGTGAGCCATTTTCTGAACTTCCTTGTTTCGAGTATTTTCAGCTCGTACGCAAAAGTAAGTTTTGGCAAACGTCTTCAATATGAATGTAAGAACGAACATAATACTCGCAGTTGCTGATTTGTCAACTAAATGGATCCGTAAGACTCATCATTTTTTTTTTATCTTTTCACATTTATAAAATAATATTACCTTCTGAAGAAGAAAAGAGAATTCGGAGCTTGAAGTTTTAGTCTTCCCAGTTAGGACAAAAAAACAACAAGAAAAGTGCCGTTTGACTAAAAAAATGAAAAGAAAAAGTGCTCGCATCGTAGCAAAGCAAATAACGCTTTGAGTGAACAATTTCGTTTTCAGTGCTGCTCGGTAATTCACAGAATAAAACTAAATAAGACGCAGTGGTCAGCCACAGTGTCAATAAGGGTTTACTAATAATGTCACAAATACGAAATAGAAGATGAATGTGAAAGTGAAAATAAACGTGTGATGAGGACAACTTGTGGCTACAAACTTCAAAGTAATGCCCGCATCTTGCGTCGGGGACGGAAGGGCCACAGAACCGAAGCAGCCCATTGCCGCTACTTTTAGAAACGCCGGGAAAGTTCAGCAATGTTCCTAACTAGAGCAGAGGATGACAGTCGAGAATGATCTGGAACCTTCCAGAAAAGTAGATAAAAAAAAAAAAAAGAATCGCTCCAGGGGTTTTGAACTCCTTTCCTCCACATGATATCCGCGTTCGCTGCCAACTCTATGCGGCAATATTTACATCTTTATTCTAACCCAGATAAGCTTTAAAAGCAAATAATGAGAAGAATAATAAGAATAATTTCAGGTGAAAGGACAAGAATGATATCATTAATTTCAAGAGCTTAATAACCGATCGCACTTTCAGACGAGATACAAAACAAAAGCTAATATTCCTGGCTTGTTTCTGTTGTCTCGTCTCGCTATCAAAATAATGACAGGAGGACCCGGGAGCAGACGAATGCCGCCGACCTTCGGAGCTTCCTCTACGAAATGGTTTTCCCTACGTGATAGCCTTGGCGCATAAAGGTCGCGCTTTGCTTCTCTTTTGTTGAAATAAACACGGAACGCGGGAGCGAAAAGAACGAGGAGGCCGTGAGATGAGTTGTGGTCATTAGGAGCTGGCCTAATTTCTCAATTCAGCTACCGCTCCTAAACTCGGCGCAACTAGTGCGAGACGTTATTGCAGTCTTCGTGTGTGTTGTTAGGGCAGCCATTTGTTCCATTGGTCATTCTAGAATCGCGTGAGTCTTTTCTACTGCCATTACCGGTAGGCTGATATCAGACTTGTGCGTAACGCGTTACAAAAAAAAACGCGTTACAAAAAACGTGTTACTTGTGTCTGGTTACTTTTTTTCGTTAGCAAATTAAAAACTTAGTTACTGCTCGAGAGATCAAACGAGTAACGTGGTTTCGTATTATCTTTTGACGAAGTAACGACGAAGAACGGTATGTATAGCTATACTTCTGGAGGACAACAACACAAGCGCCCAACTTATCCCGTGTTCGTTCCTGTGATTGTCAAGGCCAAACGACGCTGGATAAACAATAAAAAGATGTGTACGAGGTACTTGACTATAGCCACAGTTATCCCTGAATGTATGCGCTAAAAAGCGAGCAATTCTTAATAATTATAAATATTGGAAGGCAAGGTGGCTATTGTTTCAAAAAAAAAAAAAAAAAAAAAACGACAGATTTTGAGTAAAGAAGAACTAACGTATTCTTCTGAAGTAGAACGTTCTTTTTTTTAAATCTCAGTAACGAGTGACTTACTTCTAGGCATTCCTAAGCTTTGTTGTTCACAACAGTCGAGGACGAATCGCGAAATGAAGTCATATTTTTCGCACGTCCGTAATCTACCAAGGGTTATGACTGGGACTAAGTGCAACGCACACGAAGCGTCAGTCACTCGACAAATGCATTCTCCTTTGGCCGAGACTGGGCCACTCTTTAAGCTGGCAGAGCTCGCGCAAGTGCACAGCTTGACAGAACAATCGCTGACAAAGCACCGTACATGGGTGTTTAAATAAAACAATACCGTATTTTTCGGACTCTAGTCCGCGGACTACACACGTTTAAAAGTTGAAATTTTATGCGATGCGGTCTATCTCTAGGTGGGGACTATATTAAAGTGGTAGTGTGGGCGAGTTGGTCCTAAATTAACACCAAAAAAAACTTTAAAAAAATGAAGGCAGGAGGAGGGGGCAGTACACAGGTACAGCGCTGAATGGCAACTGAAATTATTATTGGAAAACTATACGAAGGATTTGTTTTCGGATTGGAAATTGAAAATTATTAGAAAACTATACGAGGATTTGTTTTTACGAGGTTGTTTCATAAGATCAGACGTGACAGACTTCGTGAGTGACAGAGCACTCTCACGATAATTTATGTTCGAATACAAACTTCTTTACGAGTTAATGAAGCAGGCCTTAGTAAATGGGTGCTGTATACGATATTATTTTTAATGTGCGGATGCGGATTAGGCACCAGGTGTCAACTATAGATCAGGTGTGGACATTTTTGGTGGAAAAAAAATTATCAACCGACAGTTACGTCTGTGGTAAGGCTTGTATGTAACGCGCTCCTTCTCTCTAGTTATTTTCTTTTCTCAGTAACGAAGTGGCAACTTGTTACTTTCATTGAGAAGGAGTAGTAACGTCTTTTCGTTACTTTTTGATGCAGTAACTAGTAACGACATCAAGTCACTTCTGGAGAGGAATGTGTGCAACAAAAGTTTCCCTGATTGGCTTTCACCCCTGCTCCCACCTGTAAATTTCAAAGGAAAAAAAGTGCAAAAAAAAAGTTGCCATTGAATGCGCTTAAAAGCTGGCATTATTAACGACACAACATATTAGAGGGCGGCTCCATAAAAACAACACATTTAGAGCAGTGAGAAAGTAACTCATGGCTGTCAAGTAAGGCGTTCCTTTTAAATCGCCGTAACGAATAACGTACTTAGATATTTTTTGAGCGAGTAGAGAATAACGGTATTTAGTTTCAGTAAGGTGTACATGTCTACCTACGGGCTCCTAATGTGGCCTATAGACAGCAAAATACGCGACAAAGAATGGCCCAAGAGCGTCTCGTACCTTGTGGATGTCGACAAGCAGAAGCTTGGCGCCCAGCCTGGCGAAGCGCAGCGCCAGTTCCCTGCCCACTCCGTGTCCCGAACCGGTGATCAAAACGACCTTCCCGGCCAAAGATTTCGTTGGCACGGGCCAACGAACCGCCTCCAGAACCGCGATCCACAAGCACTGAACCATCAGTACAACGAACTCGACGAGGACCAGCAGCACTTCAGTGACGTTCGTCATGGTGCAACACCTCTGCGGACCGAGCGGCACGGACCCCCGAATAGACTTGATCTCTTCCTTCACGACCACCACGTTGGAGAATCGTGGCCGAGACGTCGAACGTTCAGCGGCACTTGGAATCTGACGCCACTCGCAGCGCGCCTCGCACACAGCCCGAGAGAAGAAGCCATGCCGGAGAAGAACGCTCCCCGAAAACCAAAACTACAAACGAGGAAGTGACGTCCTTTGACGGAGAGCGAATGAGAGGGCTGCCGGACGTGACGTCTACGAAACTTTGAACCAGTTGGGGGGCGGTCCGTGTGGTTCGTCTAGTATGGAATCTGGCTTCGGAAGCTTCGGATAGATGTCGAACGGGCTCTTGGGGAGCTGCGAGAGGCACGCAAGTTGGGCCGGTGTTGGCCGTCGGGCATTTCTCTTTCTCCTGGAGGGCTAGCTACTGCAGCATTCAGTGTGTTGTTTTCATGGCTTCAATGTACCGTTTCTCGAATGAATGGGACCCCTCGTGAGTGACGCCATTCGGTGTTAAACGCATTGAGACGCGAGACGTGGAGGACGTCATGGTGCGTTCTTTTATCGTTGTGAAGAGCTGAGCGGACGGGAGGAAATAAAAAAAAATAATTGTCTACGATCTAAAAAAACATATATATATATAGTTTTTTTTTTGTTTTTTTTTTATTTACGGTATAGCTGGTCTGTCGATTTCGAATACGACAGCCTTTTTTTTTTTGGTTCTCACGTGAAGCAGGCATGATGAGCCAATCGAATTCTAGGGACGTTCACACAACATCACTTGCTCATTTTATTTGTATTGGTTATAATGTACATTCCCAACAGTATTCCTTTGCTTGTATTAATCGTTTAAGTTAGCCTCAACCGGTTGCCCCAGTTGCAAATATAGTTAGTTACACGTGCATGGGAGATCCCATTTATTGACGCACGCGCAATTGTATAACGCGGGACGGCAGTAATATAAATGGAATAAAAAATTATATTCTACTTTTTTATAAAGTTACAAGCGATGCAAACAGTCTGTGATGCCGCTGGGTTCAATGAATAGAAAACTGAGACGTCAGCCACCGAGACTTACGCAACCGTGAAGGACGCCCCGTATCGTTATGGGAAAGAGATTTGATCCGATATCTTCAAGACTGAGTATACGCTCTTCAGAAGTTACACCTTTTATACACCTTAATTGGTGTACATGCACCAGAGTGTCGAACCGGAACCGAACCGAACCGAAAACCGGAACCGAGCCGTTATTTTTAGCCGAACTGGAACTAAACCGAACCGAAATCTTCGCCACCATCTTGAAATTGAACCGGAACTGAACCGGAAAAAATTATTACGCTAACCGGTTCAAAACGGTTCACGGTAATTTTTTTCTTTTTTGTTAGTTTCACAAAAGGAATATGCGACAAACAAAAATTGGCAGCTGCATTTCTATGGATTGTTGGTTTTCGTGGAGCTTTTGTGTTGGCACCTTAATTAATCCTGGGTCACGTGGTCGCGTGACTTCGAGGTGTCGAGACATGCTGTCACGTAATGTTACTTCACGTGGCCCGTGACTCACTGTGTCAAGTCGATGTAAATTGAGAACGTCACTAGATTTATTAGCGCTGTTGACACGTGACTTCACATAACATCACGACTTTGCACAAACGATACCAGATTAGCTCACTTACGGAACTGCCCATTGACGCTGCTTGCACATTTAGTTCCCCCTCCCCCCTTCCCTCCCCTCCCCTCCCCCTCCCCCCCCCCCCCCCCCCCCCCCCCAACCACCAGTTTGAGGATGTCTGCTACAGGAACTGCAGTGCATTCTATGGAATGCATGTTTTGATGTATAGCGTGTAGATGGCGTTTCACCATATTTTATGAAATCCACAGTTTTGAAACGATAATCTAGTTGGCGCTTCAAACGACGGCAGGCGGACTGAAGTCAGTGAGAGGGGGGGGGGGGGGGGGGTACAACCCTGCGCGGGTGTTCCCGACCTGACCTAGTCTATCATGGCGTCAACTATTTTGTGCTACGTTGTCAAAGCAAGCTTAGCTTAGACACTGCTCCAACTCTGTAAAAGCTAGTTGCGCGAGAGCATGCAAATGAGGCGCAAAAGACAAAGCAGCTGCCCTCGCAGCAGTGCGGGACTGCTGCACAGTGGAAGCTGCGCTAACTTTGACAATGACGCGCAAAAGTTGGCACAGAGTATAATAAAGTTCTTTTGCAGCGCGAGTCACATGACACCGTGACGTACTGGATTGTCATGAGCCCGAGTCGGGTGCTCGGGTTCTTGACAATCAGCGCCGCCAAATATTTGGGTAATGGCTCGTGTTGAAAGACGAGCATAGCCGAACTCTAACAATGTCTGAAGCTCAGCCCATGCTCTATGCTTTGCCAACCCCAGCACATGACCATGATGAACACTGACGGGTACATAATTATAGCGTCAGATCAGATGGCAGCTTGTTCTAAATGTGGAGGGGAAAGCTGTTTCTTTCCTTTATTTTTTTTTTCTGCGTCATTGCGCGGGGAAGAGAACTAATGGGTGTTTTTGCAAGTGATAAGAGTCGGGAATTAGTTCTTAGCGGTATTTATTGGAAGTACAAAAACGAGTTGTCGCCTAGAATAGAGGCATTTAAATAACTAAATGCGACTTATTAACCCGACGTTACCGGAGAAGAGACCTAATGGGTGTTTTTGCAAGCTATCAACGTCAGAAATTAGTTCTTAGCGGTATCTACTGAAAGTACAAAAAGGGTTGCAGATATATTTTACATGTAATCATAATTGAGGCACTCAAACATATTATTTTCGTTGTTGCTGAACTGCCTCAGGAAGTTGTCCTCGAGCATAGAGGCATTTAAATGACTAAATGCGACTTATTAATCCGACGTTACATAGAACAGCGTGTGTGCACGGAAGGGATGCCTGAAAAGAACGATCCTAGTGGCAGGCACGTGGCCAGGATTTGGATTCGGGCCGGGGGGGGGGGGCCCGCCCAATGACAGAATGCTCTATGAGGGGGAGGGGGAAAGGAGGCCCCAGCAAAATGAAAGATTTCGGGGGAGGGGGGGCATGGGGCTCCCCCCCCCCCCCCCCTCCACCTGGCTACGTGCCTGCCTAGTGGAACAGCCCAACGTTATCAACCGCTCTATATCTCACAGGAGTGTCGCTCCAAAGTTTTTTTAGCAAGCTTCGACCCTCATCCGTATTTTGTTTAAACTTCACAGTTCTTTGGGTGCAAAATAAATGCAATCGAGGATTACTTTTAATGTTAACGAGTGACATAAATATAATTGTCGAATAAACAGCCAATAAACTGTAAAAGGGTTGATAACTGGGCTAGTTGGTAGTTATACATTTTAACGGTATTAGCGCACACGTATGAGGAAGAGAGAAGAGACAGAAAAAAAAATACAAAAGAATAAACAGCCCCAAACGGAGGAGGCAGCTCCCTCAGGAATAAAAAGTGTTCTCTAAAAGAGCAACGAAGAAAAAAGAAAATAAGGGGGGAGGGGGGTTCACAAACATAATTTATTGTAAAGGTTCATCTTCCCCGCATCTCTGGCACACATCAGAAAACGTGGCCATAAAAACCACTTTGTTTACAGAAACACTCTCGCCAGAAAGCGCGTTTTGGTGGCGCCAGACCCTCGCTTCGTTCCTCACGACGCTGCACCGAGCACAAATAATTTGTGTCTCAAATACATGGCTTGCACCGAGCGCGAACCTTCTGCAGCGTGCATTTTGCACCACCGGATTTGATTTTCTGAGCAAGAACAAGTAGCAATGATCACCACACAGTGCAATGATGTCACGTGCAAACCATGTTAAACAGTTCATTATCCTGGTGAACTGATGCAGTATATATAGCAGTCTCGCGATGATATATGGCAGCCTAATAAAATGTTAGAGCGCACGACTGATCAAGCACAGATTCGTGAAGTGAGGGTGCCAAAATAAAGTACACTTAAAACCGAATATGACATTAGCCTCCAGAAGCAGTATTTTCCCGAAGTTTCGAGTTCATGCAAGCTGATGCCCAAATTTGACTTGTGTAAGGAATATAAGAACCTTCGTCTGGTCCTTCGCGCTAGTTATGCTTAAAGGGGTACTCCGCCGATTTTTGAGCTACCTCAACTAACTATATTTTCTGACTCCCAGGCCTTTACCCTTTCTGGAATGCTATTTAATATCGTGAAATTCATAATAGTTATTGCGAAATCGGCAAATGAAAATGATGCAAAAACAGACATTCAAATATACCCGCCCTTTTCAGGGCCGTGACGTCAGTGGAAGTTCAGCTTGCCAGTCGGGCGAGCAGTCTAAAAAATAGAATATGCCAATTATTTGTTCCGTGCTGGAGCGCGGGGACTGGAGCGAGCTTCCAAGGCATCCATTTGACACCATGAAACTGCTTCAAATCAGTTGGGAACAAATTCTACAGTCCAAAGAGTGAACCCCTGCACTTCCAATGACGTCACTTTTTCATTGTTGCCAGTAGAGACTTTCAGTTTGAAAAACATGGTGAGGACCAAAATTGTAAATTCAATAACTTCGTGAAAAAAAATTATTTTGACCTAATATTTGGGATACTATTTTGGCGATGTTGTTTGGCGAGTTTAGCAAAATTTCAAGCAAATCGGGGACCACGAAGAAATCGGCGGAGTACCCCTTTAACTATACATATTATTACATCTATGCGTATTTCTTTTTGCGGCATCGTGTATCGGATTCTTTTGAAGAATATCATTTGTTATCTTTTTCTTTCTGCAGATTTCGTGTATTTGCCCTCATATATGTCATGTAAGCACAAAGTTATTCTTGGCATACCCCGTGACGCGGAGTTTTAAACTGCCAAACAGCAAACACACAAAGCACGTTTCCGCAGAACGGCTCAACCGCTGGCGTATTTTCGAGTACCGACCTCCCGTGTCGGTTTCAAGCGGTTATGTGAACTTCATGCAGACAAATTTATTGATGATAACAACAAATATATTTGATGCTTTGGAAACCTTTTCCGGCGTTTTTTATCCTCAGTTGGCACGAGCACGAGACAAATTTTTTCACCTTGAAGTTGATTTAAGTAACCATGTGTTCCTGATTCATGTATAACTTCTAAAAAAATAGTATAGATGTCTGTTATTGCCTCTTTTATGTTATTAATAGCAATTTTATATGTCTGTGGGCT